AATCCCGGTGCCGGGAGGCATATTACTATATAGAATAGAGGCCTGGTGCATGGGTAGGGGCTGGCTGGTTTGCCCTGAAGGGTGTCCTGGATCAGGGTGGGGGTCCCCACTGGGGTGCCTGGCCAGTCTGGGTGAGGGGCTGAGGGCTGTTTTCCGGTTGGCGAGTGACTGAAGCTCCCAACCGCTCCTTGTTTTCTTTTTTTTTTTTTTTTATTCTGGGCCAGCTTTAGCTCTGAGGCCTCGCTGCTGAAAACATCGATACAATGTTGCGGTCCGGCTGGCTTTCAGTCTGGCTGGTTTCTGGGGTTTTGTTTAGCTTCTTATTTGCAACATAGTACATAGTTGCTTAGAGTTGCAGCTGAGAGGCTGGCAAGTGAGGCGGGGAACGTTGGAGTCCGCAGTCACTGAAGCAAGCAAGCCTCCCTGCTGGCTTCAGTGCATGGCTACCGGCCGCCATCTTGGCTGACAGTTAATTTGCATAAGGATATGCTGATTAGCCAATGGGAAGGGTAGCGGTCGTATGCTAATTACCATGTTTCTCTTTTATTAGTGTAGATTATTTTTTTGACTAAGTGGCTTTTAATGGTTGACCTCATAACTTCTGAAGAAACTAGAATGTAAAAAGAAAGAAGAGTTTAAACCAAGGCATTCTATGACACTTAGAAAAGAATGAAATACTTTACTGAACAAATGTGATAGTGAGAAGAATGGGACATTTTAAGGGAACTAGAAGGCACAAGGTATTATATCTCCACCCTCACGATTCACAGGGCTGCTAGAGGTGCCACCTCTGTGATTGGGTCATGGCTCTTCTCCTGCCCTAGCCTTTGTTGTGATAAAGCAGGGCTCCTGTAGGGTAAGTAAGAGGCCTGTGGAACTCCCGAGGGCTCTTGACTTCTGAGACCTAGCTCCTGTCATCCTTGGGAGTAGCCTTTCCTCAAGGATAGTGTTTCCTCCTCCCTCCTCCTGCTTCTCAGTGGGTTTTGAGAGAACACTCCATGGTTGCATCACATTTTGTCCTTGGAACACAAACTCCTCCATCCAACCTCTGACCCATCTCAGCCCTGCTCTGGGGCAGGCTCAGACTCCTGCTTAGTTATCTCTCACCTCTAAAGCCCTTCTCAGCTGCAGTCGAACATACCTGATGGTCCACTAATCAACATCTCCCCAAAGCAGGTGATCCTCCTGGGGCCCTGTCCTTGCCCCCCAGTGTCCCATTCTGAATTGGTTTCTCTGCAGGTTTGATAAACAACCATCTTATGAGGACTTACCTGCCTCCTGGAATTCCCTTTACCTCCTTTCTGTTAGAGCCTTTGTTTCTTGGATTCTGAGTCTTCTTTTCACTGCTTTATTTTTTCCTAGCTTTTTGGGATAGGATTTGTGGGAGGTAAGTATGTATAGCAAAATACATTTTTATCTTTCCTGATCCACAGTTTTTTAGTTGTGGATAGAATTCCAGCTGGAAACATTTTCATCAGAATATTTAAGGCATTTCAGATTTCAATTCACAAAAAGGATTATTCTTCCTCTACCTACCCCAACAATCTCACCGGTCACATATTTTCAGAACTTTCTTGTGTTCTGAAATGAGCCTTCATTCATTGGTTCAATGTGGAAACTTATGTCCTTTATTTCTGGGAAGTGTTTCTATATTATTGCTTAAATATGCTCTTTTTTATGTTTTCTGTTGCTTTTTTGCACTGACGCTTGGATTTTCTCTCATCACTTTAAATTCCTTATCTTTTGTTCTCTTCTGTGGAAGATTTCCTCAACCTTGTCTTCCAGTCCCTTGATTGGTATTTTTAATGGTTCTATGATTTTTTTTCAGTTTGTGAGAATGAATCCTTATTCTCTGATTTGATTTTCATTGCATCCTGTTCTTATTTGGTGAATTGTGGGTCTTTTCTTAACTCTGACAATTTCTGAGGCTCTTGTTTTCCTGCTCCCTGGATCGACTTTTCCTGCAGGTACTTGTGTTTTTGTTTTTTGGTTAGGTTGGCCAGCTTGCTTCTACCATATGAAAGGCATTTCTAAATCTTGGCAGTGTTTGCTTGTGTTCACTCATGAGAGTAAGGTGCCAGAAAACTGGTACGTTAGGGCCTGACAGTCAGTGAGCTTCATGGATTGTAGTCAGGCAAGGGCCTGGCCAACACCAAAGAGCCCCTAGTCA